TATAATCTGTCTATACTAATAAAAGAGTAATATGCTAACTAGACCGGGTAGGCCAGCCATCTTCCAGATGTCCAACTTCCTTCCAGACAAAGCCACGGTGGTTGGGGCCAAGGCAGATGCAGTTAGGGACAATAAGGCCAGCAGGGGAGAGCAGTTAAGGGCAAGATCAGGCTGGCAGGGGGTTAGGGGCGATCAGGCCAGTGGGGGAGGGGGGGTGACCAGGCTGGCAGGAGAGGGCAGTTGGGGAGCAACCAGGCTTCAACTCTCTGCTGGGTTCAGTGTCAAACTTCAGCTTCTGGGAAGGAGGTGACGAGGCCACCAGCAGTTTCCACTTAACAGGCCCTGCACACCTGTCCTCGGGCCACACCTCCTGCTGCCCACCCTGCCTTCCCATCGCAGAGCTTACAGACACCTCAACACAGTCCCTCCATACACTGTGGTGTCTGCTCCCCAGGTGGTTCCACTGGGTCGACACTGGGCATGTATAAGTCCACCACCAAGTCCAAAGCTTTATCTGGATCATCCTATTCCATTGACTACCCTGTTTCCAGAGAAAAAAAAACAAGATGAGGCAGAACTTGAGTCTGAGGCTCCCATCCGGTGTCCTCTCCTCTCCGTCCGGCCCCTGGCACCTGGGAAGGCTGCACCCCAGCCTCGCCAGCTCATGTTCCCTCCTCATCACCTATTCTCTGTTCTGGAAAATAAGCTTAACACGAGGACAGTCCAAGCTGCTCCAGGCTGCAGGTCTCTATAAACCCAAGTTTCTTTCATGAAAATAAGTGGAGGCGCTAAGAGGCCACCAGGTGTGACAACTCTCAGGTGACTGCCCCGAGGCTGGGGCCACGGAAGCAGGTTGCAGAAGACACCACACCAAATACCGGTGGGGCAAGTGCCATGAGGAGACAAGGCCCAGAGAGAGACCAAGACCCTGCAGGGAGGGGTCCCAGGAGTTGGCTCCTTGCTCTTGCACCTCCATCCCAAGTCCAGCCTCCACTCAGGAGACAGCAGTGCCCCTTGGCACCAAGGAAGCCAGCGAAAGACCTCAGCCTCTTGCCCAGCTGAGAGGTGGCCCTTCCTCCTCCGTATTTTTGTGATCCTATGCCTACACTTCATTTCCGGGGGAACCCGCAGGCAGTGCTGGGTGGAGTCAGCTCACCTGAGCTCTGAGAGCCCATCATATGCATCTCTTCCCACCTGCATGTTCCATGGCATCAGATGGGGTGTCTGCAACTAGCCACCAGGAGTGTTGACACCAGGGAAAGTGGCAAATGCCAGGCGTCAGACTCTACCTCAGCCAGGTTGTAACTATTCACCAGCGCCTCTGCCCGAGGGGCTGCAGGAGAGACTGGCCATCAGAGGCAGAGGAAACAGAGCAAGCATTTCTGAAGAGGAAAAAAAAGTCTATTCCTACCCTGAGAAGAATGCAAGAAAGCCCCTCCCCTCAACATGGCGTGCGGGGGAAGGGGGGTGGGCAGAAAAGCGAAGTCTTTGCATGTCCAAGGCCTCTCAGCAACAGCGGAGAATCATCAACCCAGATGCCCTGGTCCAAACCGGGACTCATCCCGCTGAGCCAAGTGGCTGCCACGAAGCCAAACGATGTGCGATCAACAACTACACAGAGCTGGTGGAGGCCGAGGGAGGCCAAGGGAGGGAGGCTGAGGGAGGGCAGGGCCCTCTTTTAGCCCAGAGGATGGGTGGGTTTGGAATGGGTGGTCCCTCTCTGCCCCCCCAGCCCACTGCCCTCCTGGGCCCTGGCCCAGACCTCCCACGGGCATGGCGTTCCTGCCTCCTGCCCCATGACGGGGCTCCGGCTGCTCAGACAGCAGTGGACAGCATTCCGTACGTGAGCTGGTCCTGCCAGGGGGTGGGTTCAGCGTGAGGTTACGTCCATCAGCTTTCAGGACAAATTCTCGGTTTATTAATTCTCCTCCGTTACGCAGGCAAAAGTAAATAAGCTTTTCTCCGGCAGCCTGGCACACAAGCCTTCCCTATTCAAACACGGCAAGAACTGACAGGCTGGGGAGTGCTGCGCTCTGGGCCCGCTCCCCAGGGGCTCCCTGGCCTCCTGCCCACGCCATCCCGCCCAACGAGACCAGGCAGTCATGTGTGGCAGGCCCAGAGTCCAGCACCTGAGGCCCGGGCATGGCCTGGTCCTTGGGTGAGAGCACCAGATCCTGGGCACCCCGGAGCACCAGAGAAAGTCAGAAGGGTCTGCTCAAAGCATGAGGATTGCACCTGCTCGCTCAGCCCGTCTGTGAGCAAAGCGGTGCTGTGTACGTGTGTCTACTGTTTGCTTTCGTTTAAAAAGCGTGTCTTTTAAAGGTTTGGAAGGAAGAAAAGAAATAAGCAGTAACAAAACCGAACGGAGTCAGGACATTAACTAACTAACCAAGAACTGAAAAGGCCTTGCAAAGGAGGCTGCCCGTGTTTGTAAGCACTCGCTGGGGAATCCTGTCTGGCCCAAGACCGCCGCTTGCTTTCCCCCAGCTTCCTGTGGCCGGCACAGACATCTCGGGAGTCGTTTATCTTTTTCCCTATTTTTGTCCCATTGGCCCGTTTCTGATTTGCAAGGGGAAAAGCCAAAAGCGCTGCAGGGACTGGGGAAATGGGAGGCAAGAGTGAGATGCTGGTCTGCCTGGGCCGTGGCTGAGCTGGGTACACAGCCCCCAGAGCTGGGCCAGGTGAGCTCCGAGCAGCGGCAGAGGCCACACGGCGGGAGCAGGAGTGGAGACTCCAGCGAGCAGCAGTGTCAGCATCGGTGAGCCCAGCTGCGCTGCCCAGAGCTGGATGGGATATGCCTTCCGCAGCCTCAGGCCTGCTCCTGCCTCGCCTCCCAGGCCCCTTCGCTGCTTCTTCCAGCAGTTTTTCCTGTGAATGTCTCTTGCAGCTCGACCAAAGGTGACTGACGACTCAACTCAATTTCCCAAGACCAGCGTCCCTGGCTTTCCCGGGTGTGACCTCAGCAGCCCCCTGAAACGCTCTCTGTCCGCCCGTCTCTGGGGGCTGTGCTCTGACTGTGCACACATGCCGGTTTGAAATGTCCTCTCAGTCCCCAGCGTACGGCCAGCACTCAAGTCTAGTCTTTAGTCTAAGACCGTGGTCGGCAAACTGCGGCTCACGAGCCACATGCGGCTCTTTGGCCCCTTGAGCGTGGCTCTTCCACAAAATACCACTGTGGCCTGGGCGAGTCTATTCTGAAGCAGTGGCGTTAGAAGAAGTTTACGTTTAAAAAATGTGGCTCTCCAAAGAAATTCCAATCATTGTCCTGTTGACATTTGGCTCTGTTGACTAATGAGTTTGCCGACCACTGTTCTAAGACATCAGGCAACCATGTGGGAGCACAAGCCTCCCCCACACCTGCCTGGAGAGGAGGAAGGGGGTCCCCAGAGCTGACACTGATGTCCACATGGGCCCCCCATTCCCACTCCTACCCCAAGTGCCCGTGCACAAAAGGCCCGTGTGACCCCAGGACGGGACGCTGGGTACCAGCCTGGCCTGCTCTCCGCGTGGCGCCCCGTCCAGTGGCTCTGAGCCCCACAAAACCTCCCTGGGCCGAGGACTGGTGACAACATTCTCACAGCATTATCTCCAAATGCAGAAATAAAATACATGGGACTCCTGTGGATGGAAAAGGGCCCACATCCTACACCGGACACACTCAGGGCCCTGCATGGAGCGCCTTACAGACTCTGAGAGCGAAAGTAACCGCATAGGAAGGCCTGAACATGCAAGTCCCAACTCAAAGTGGGTCCTGGCAGGTGGCTCCGTCCCAGGCCTGTAGCTTCCCTGACAAAGTCACTCTTTACTGTAGGAGAGCCTGTCTGTCTTTTTGCCTCTGTGATCACACACCTTTGAAATGCCAGGGTAACCTCTTCCTGCGGACCCCTCGGGGCGCCCCACATACCAGACGCCACACCCTCTCTCCTCCCCCAAGGCCCTCTCCATGGGCTGTCAGTGCGAACTGCTAACTACCCTGCACCGGCCCACGAAGAGAAATCTCTCCCCACTTTACTTCGCATCCAGTCCCAGCCCTTCCCCACTCTGCTCTCTCCCATCCCTTTCACCTATCCCCAGCGACCTGCAGGTAACCCCCTCACACCTCCTCCCCTGATTGTAATGTATAAAATAAGCTGTAAAGCTGCCGTTCTCCGAAGCAATTTCTCACTCCGTGGAGATTTTGCTGCCTGGCAAACGTCTTCGTCCGTTTGGCTCAAGTCCACTCCCCTCGGACTTTTTTTTAGGCTGGACGTTCTTTTGTCGATGGCACAAAGGAAACAAATACCCCAAAACACACTTAACCAGACACGTTCACACCCAAAATCTACGAGGCAGCCTCTCACGGCATCGCTTCTTCATTAGCGGCTACAGGTGGGGAGGCGGCAGCAGGCCTGGCGGCTCCTGTCGTTTTGAAGCAACAGTGACCTAACGGCATGCTGGGATACCTGCACCCACCCTAACGGGTGAGAAAACACCGGTGGCTTCCCCGGGCTGCTGGCCCTGCTGTGGTTTGTGGCCGCCTTGGCAACCGAGGGAATGCTCAGGTTCAGCGAGAGGAGGGGGACAGAGGCGGCGTGGTTCTCTCCCTGTCCTCACCCCCATTTCTGAGTGCGGCCCCTGTTCTGTCCCGGTGCTCAGGAAGGCGCTGTCGCCTCCTTCCTGGACCTTCTGCAGCCCCGGAAGGGGTGACACGGCCCAGTTGGATGATGTTGGGCTCAAGCCGCTCCCTAACTTGGTGGATGAATAAGAGGAGCCACTGTGAGCGTCCTGGGCTTGGAGAGAGGCTGGCCCACAGGACTGATTAAACCCCTCTCTTTTATTCTTGGGGGGGAATGAAGCGGGGGGGCTCCCAGAAAAATGCCTGGGGCTCCATCCTCCTCAGTCCAAGCCGGGTACCACTCATGCCAAGTAGCGCCCTGATGGGGACTCGGAGGATTCTGTCCCCTCTAACCCCCACCCCCTTCCCACCCTCCCAAAGAGACGAGCAGAGGGGGCAAGCCTACCTTCCGGCTCCTCCACGCTGCTGGCTGCAGTGGTGGGCGGCGCCACGGGGATCTCTGCAAGATTCAGGACGGAGGAAGGGGAAGTGAGGTGAGGAGGTGTTGTTTTTTTACCTTAGAGCAGGATGGGCACAGCACAGACCCCTCCCAGCCTTCCAGCGTCCCCCTCACCCCACCCCCACCACCATCGCCTCCAGACAGGGCCCTCCCCCCGCACCCAGGCCCCGGGCGTACGTACTGATGCAGGGGGCGATGGGGGAGCGGCTCTGCTGGTAGCCCTTGGCGCAGCGGTTGCAGGTGATGCCGGTCACGCCGTCCTTGCAGGGACACTGGCCGGTGGTTTGGTTGCAGGTTTTGCCAGCAGCACCCACGGGGTGGCAATCGCAGGCTATGGAGGACACACAACAGGAGGGTCAGAGGGTGGGAAGGGGCCCCGTGCACACCCTCCCCCTGGGGTCCCTCCCCAGCGAAGAGCAGGAATGGGGGAGTGGGACCAGCCAAGCCCACACATTCCGGAAGCTCTGAGCGCCGGCCACCTGCCCACCGGGAAATGGGGAATGAGGATTAGGACTCTCGGACTCGAAAGGATGTGCTGGCAGCAGGGAGGCGAAGGTGGGGAGCCCTTCCCAGGCCAGAGAGGAAGGCCCACCATCAAGCATGTTTCGAAGAACGTAAACTCTGACCATGAGTGGAGGAGTCAGACCTGGGAGCTGCCCCTTCTCCCCATGGCTTTGTGCATTCCCGTTCCTCCGCCCGCCCACCCGCCCTGGGCCCCCACACTCCCCTGCTGACCCTCTGGGCGAGGGGGACAGGGTCTGGAGCCTGATGGGAGAGTCACCAGGAGGTGCGGCCTGCAGGCTGCTGCCCCCACCTGCTCTGCCTACCCCCAGGATCCCCAAGCCCACAACCTGCAGCAGCGGGAAGAGGCACAGTAGTTGTTTAATAAATGTGCAAAGACTGGGAGGTGCGAGAACCCTCCCCCACGGGTCTCACAGAGGGAACGACCCCGTTCTCAGGCCACTGGCCAGCCCATGCCCGTCCTCCTGGTTGTTCATCCTGACGCCCACTCCTGTGCTCTGAGGACCCTATTCCAGCGATGCAGTGGCCAGACAACATTGGGGGGACATCCCACTGCTGTGGACTGGATGTTTGTAACTCCCCAAAGTCTTACCTTCAAGCCCTAAACCCCAAATACAATGGTGTGGGGAGGCGGGGCCCCTGGGAGGTCATTAGGGTTAGATGAGGTCATGAGGGTGGGGCCCCCCTGCTGGGGTTAGCGCCTTTAACAGAGGAGGGAGGGAGAGGTCTCTGCAGGCACACAGCAAGGAGGCAGCCACTGCAAACCAGGAAGCGGCCCTCCCCAGACCCTGACTCTGCGGCCCCTGACCTTGGACTTGTCCGCCTCCAGCCGGTGAGAAATACAGAGCTGTTGTCTAAGTCTGTGGTGTTTTGTTACAGCAGCCAGAGCTGACTGAGACACCCACACCTGACGCCGGGGCAAGAGCTGCTGCACCAACCAGGCGGGATCTGAGGCCCCACGGTGTCCTGCCCCCACCCCGAGTGGGAGTGGAAAGGGAAGACAGGACGAAGGAGGAGTGGTCTGCCTCTCCCCTCCTCCCTCCGCCTCTCCATCCCCCAAGGGCAGTGGGGCGGGTCTCCAGGGCAGCTTCCTGCCCCAAAGGGGAGAGGAGCCCAGAAGGTAACTGGGAGAGAGCTCCTTCAGGAGCTGACGGGGTTCCCAGGCCAGCTCTGCTCACGGCGGAGGCAGAGTCTGCGATGGAGACGGCAGGAGGAGAGCAGGGAGGAGAGGAATGTGAGGAGATGTTTGCGGAAGTTGTGTCTGGACCTGTGTGGCTTCCTGAAGCTCCTGGAGGAGTGGGCTCCTGGTTGTGGGTGCCCCCTGGCAGGGGAGAGGCAGGGGCACAGGCCCGGGACAGAGGCCCTGGGTGCCACGCAGGCGGCTGGTGGCCCGAGGGGTCTCTCAGTGCTGGCCCCACAGAGGAAGACACCTGCTCCCATCTCGCCTCTGTGAACCCGTCTGTTGGAAACCTGTCTTCTTAAATCTGCCCCGAATTCAAGTCCATGCCTCACTGTTGTTTTCTTTCCTTCTTCTTTTTGTCCTGTTTGGTTCCACTCAGTAAGAACAGACTGCGCCTCGTGGGTGGCATGAGGAGGGACAGGGGGAGAACACGCTGGCCTTCCCCTCGGCCTCCACGTCCCCGTGACGGGAAGGGCGTTCACGCGTGGGTGGCGTGTCTCAGCTGCCACGTGAAAGCAGAGGCCACAGCACAGCACCCTGCTGTCCCGCGCGCCTGACCGGGCACCCATCGGATGTGGCCGAGGCTCCCGCCAGCTGATGCCCTGGCCTGCTCTCACAAGCTGGCTGCCGAGAGGCCTCCTCTCTGTGTGACCGAACCTCGCTGCCTGCGCTGGACTTCAGACCCTTGGACTGGGCTGGCAGAGGTCACCAGAGGCTGCTCAGGGACTGAAGGGTCCGAGCGAGGTCACCCGGGGGCACCACCATCAGTCCAGGGACCTCTACTGTGGTGGGAGCTGGTCCAGAGCAGAAGTAGGGGCGCAGTGGGAGGACTGTGACCCTCCCCCGCGACCCCCCACCGCTGTGACTTCTCAGCTGCACCCGCTGAGGTCCGGTGGAGCCGGTGGAGCCCAGGCCACCCTCTGTGCTGCGGGGGCAGCTGTCTGCTGGGTGGAGCGGGCACCGCTCAAGGACCATCTTTTGATGAAAGGAGAGGGTGCTTCATCTCGGCTTCCCAATCTTTCTCCTGCGATCTGCAAAGACTCTGAGCAGCTGGCCCTGCAGCCTGGTCAAGTCTACTTTGAAGAAGTGGCATTAGAAGAAGCTTAAGTTTTAAAAATGTGGCTCTCAAGAGAATTTCAATCGTTGTCCTGTTGACATTTGGCTCTGTTGACTAATGAGTCGGCCGACCACTGGCCTAGGGTTTGGTGCCTGAGCCGGGGCCATCCCCCACGGCTGCAGGCATGGCAGTGTCCCCGCCCCTGAGGGTGCGGGCGCTGGCTCGCTTATACTGCTGGGCACAGCACGCCTCCCGTCCACACCCACCGGCCGCCCTGCCCGACACCGCTGTCCACCGAGTAGTGCCAGGATGTCCTCCCTGAGACTCGGTTTCTCTGCCAGGGAAGAGCAGCCCAGCAGGGCCCGGAGCTCAGGCGGGGTGACGGGCAGGCAGACAGTCCTCCGGTTTCCCAGCTCCTTCCCCCGTTTCCTCCAGTGTCTGTCCAGGCCGCCCCCTCTCACGGCGGCTCACACGGTGGTTTTGGGGGGCCAACCTGGGGGGGTGTCTGGCTGCTTTTCCTGAAGACCTGGCTCTAAGGGCCTTCGGATGGCAGTGACCTCAGGACACAGGAGAGGGGGGCGGCCTGGTGCCCAGGCTCCCGGGGAGCTCCAGGCAGGAGGGTGGGAGAGGGGCCACAGACCTCAGCACCGATCCTCACTTCAGACGTCACCAAGGCCGCTCAGGCCACCAGCCAGGGGTGAAGGGCAGCTTTGGGCCTGAACCCAGAGGTCCGGCCCTCAGAGAGGCCCTCCCTGGCCACGTAGTAGAGCAGCTGCCCCCACTTGCACTCTTTATTTCCTCCCTGTGACTCACCACAGCATATAATAACTTTATGTCTTCTTCTCCTTCATCGTCAGCCTCCCCCCAGATAGCAAGCACGTGCTCCCTACATACGGGTGCAAAGACCAAACTCGGGGCAAATCTGTCGCCCCTCCCCCTGGGGCATGGCTATCTGATGTACCTGTGAGTCTGGAGGAAAGAAGGGGGCGGGCAGGGAAGACCATCCTGGGGCCCAGCCTGACCCCAGAGCACCCCCTGCCCCGCGTTCCCGTGCTAACCAGGGGGCGAGGGGCGAGGAGCACTCCGGCCACAGATAATCCACCAGCCAGCTCAGCTGTGTGTGTCCACCCCCTCGCAGCTCTGCTTTTCTTGCTCCCAGCAGTCGCTAACGAGGCACAAAAGCGTAAATGTTTCAAGTGGTGCGACCTCTCCTCTCCCCTGCCACTCTCGGATCAAGGTGCAGACAGCAGGAAGTGGAAGGGGAGGGGCGCCCCATAATCCCAAACCGGGTTATTTGACCCTCCTGATCCGGTTAACTATGGTCTCCCTGCACCTGATTTACAGCAAGGGACAGGCCCGGCTCCTGCAGATGGCAGGGGCGGGGAGGCCCCGGGCAGGCGGGATCTTTCACAGCCGCCTTCAGACATGCGGCCTGTCCCCACCTCTCCGCACAGGGCCTCCGGAGCAGCTGCGGGACACTTATCTCCGCCGTTGGATGTGTTTGCCTTTCTTGCTCCCCCGGTGTGCAAATCCTTTATCCGGGGCCTTGCCCATTCCTATGGGAATCTGCCTCTGAGTCCACAGCTGAGCCCTCCAAAGTGAGAGGCACCCCACCCACCAAAAGAACTAAGGCAACAGAAAAACCGAGGGAGCTGAAACCGGTTTGGTTCAGTGGATAGAGCGTCGGCCTGCAGACTGAAGGGTCCAGGGTTCGATTCCAGTTGGGGGCATGTACCTTGGTTGGGGGCACATCCTCAGAAGGGGGTGTGCAAGAGGCAGCTGATTGATGATTCTCTCTCATCAATGTTTCTAACTCTCTATCCCTCTCCCTTCCTCTCTGTAAAAAATCAGTAATATATATATTGAAGAAGAAGAAGAAAAAGAAGAGGAAGAAGAGGAAGAGGAAGAGGAAGAGGAAGAGGAAGAGGAAGAAGAAGAAGAAGAAGAAGAAGAAGAAGAAGAAGAAGAAGAAGAAGAAGAAGAAGGAGAAGGAGAAGAAGAAGAAGAAGAAGAAGAAGAAGAAGAAGAAGAAGAAGAAGAAGAAGAAGAAGAAGAAGAAGAAGAAGAAGAAGAAGAAGAAGAAGAAGAAGAAGAAGGAGAAGGAGAAGAAGAAGAAGAAGAGGAGGAGGAGGAGGAGGAGGAGGAGGAGGAGGAGGAGGAGGAGGAGGAAGAGGAGGAGGAAGAGGAGGAGGAGGAGGAGGAAAAGCCGAGGAAATCTGTGTGCCTGCTTGTTCTACTTTCCGCTAATTGTACAGACAGCCCTGCCGGCGAGCACGTGTGGGTGACGCATGTGCCAGGAGCCTCCTCTATGTCATTTCATGTAGTCGCCACCATAATCCTGAGGGAGGAGGAACTATTGTTGACCACATTTTCAGATGAGAAAACGGAGGCACGGAGGAGGACATACATTGCCCAGGGATGAACCTGGAGTCCTGGTCTCAATAACTCCCGGATGTGAAAAGCCACCCACCCTCAGGCTGTTGGCTGGAGCCATCTGCTGCTCTCCTGCTGACAAAGGCTGTGTCCCAGGTGACATGCCCTCCATCAGCAGAGGAGCTCAAGGCCAGGGCAC